ATATTTACACTGGGACTCTCTGTATTATATATTTACACTGGGACTCTCTGTATTATATGGTTGCACTGGGACTCTCTGTATTATATAGTTACACTGGGACTCTCTGTATTACATTTACATTGGGACTCTGTGTATTACATATTTACAATGGGACTCTCTGTATTATTTCATAGCTACACGGGGATTCTCTGTATTACACATTTACATTGGGACTCTCTGTATTACATATTTACATTGGGACTCTCTGTATTATATATTTACATTGGGACTCTGTATTATTGCATAGTTACACTGGGATCTTATCACATATTTACATTGGGACTTTGTATTATATATCTACACTGAGACTCTGTATTATACATTTACACTGAAACTCTCCGTATTACATATTTACATTGGAATTCTATGTATTACATACTTACATTGGGACTTTGTATTATATATTATATTGGGACTCTGTATTGCACCTTTACATTGAAACCATGTATTATATATTTACATTGAGACTCTCTGTATTATACATTTACACAAAAACTCTCTGTATTACATATTTACATTTGAATTCTATGTTATTACATACTTACATTGGGACTTTGTACTATATATTATATTGGGACTCTGTATTACACCTTTACATTGAAACCATGTATTATATATTTACATCGGAACTCTATATATTTGCACTGAGACTCTCTGTGTTACTTATTTACATTGGGACTCTATATTATATTTTCACATTGGGACTCTCTGTGTTATGTATTTACACCGAACTCTGTGTTGTATATTTAGTAACTTTCCCTTCTATACTTATAAAGCTCTGAACAAAACTTAGGAACAAGCACTAATCAACATGCCATAAATAACTGATGATAAATAAAACCACATGACTTGATGTGAGATGTAGTTCTATTAACAGGCATTTGCGAACTTGATGTTCAAATGAACAAAACAGGAACAATATTATAAATTTAAAAGCAAAAATAAGAGACTATACTCAGCTATCCAGGTTTCACTGTTAGTCAGCACTTCTGTACATGTAAATTAACAAAAAAGGGTTGTTTTAACCACGCACGAGTCTGGGGCTCCCTGAATGTTCATCTGCCCTATTTTCTATTCTGCAGCTAACAGGTTCCTCTCCCTTTAGCTGATCCATCTTGTGTTCTAAAAACAAACAGGAAGTGGTGAGTCACTGAGATAAAATACCTGTACTCTGCCCTAGAGGTTGCTTCGTAAAGACACAGGGAGACTGGGGGTAAAGGACTCCACCCCATCAAACAGAACCACTTACTAGTGGTCTCCGTCTGGGTGCTTTTCTCTCTTGCTCAGGCTACCCATTCATAGCCACATAGAGTTCACAGAGCCCCCTCAGTGTTCACCTACATTATGCCAATGTACTGCTAAGCCTCCTAAAAGGGTTTCATACACATCTAAAGAGTACTTGGATCTGGTGAAGTAATTAGAAAACCAAGCCAATGGAAGAGTCAGCACAGGAACATGTAATCTGCTGTTCCCTGTCTTCTGATTTCTGTTTGGTTTAGGGTTCCATAGACCAGGCCCAGGCTGGATGAGCACTAGCAGTGACACGCCGAGCTCCTGGGTCCTGCTTCAATATTCTCTCAAATTATATATATAATATAATATGTAATGTTATATTATTATATAATATATATAGAGAGAACAACCACAGACTGAAAATTCAGAAGAAAAGATTTTAAGATAGAGTCTCACTCTGAAGTTCTGGCTGGCCTTGAACTCACTGTACAGACCAGGCTGTTCTTGAACACATAGTGATCCACCTGCCTCTGCCTCTCAAGTGTTCTTTGTCTCTCAAGTACTGGGATTAAAGACATGTGAAACCATGCATGGCTAAGGAATTTTTTTTAATTTTACATATATTTATTTTGTGTGTACACAAATGTGTGTGTCATGATGTTCATGTCAGGGTCAGGGGCTGACTTGTGAGGCCTGGTTCTTTTTCTATGATGTCAGTTCTGGGGCTGGGGCTGGACCTCAGGTCGTCAGTCTTGGCAACAAGTGTCTTTACTCACTGGGTCATCTCATCAGCTCAGAAATTTTCGTAACTCTGACATTAACTCACTAAACTGTGTTCGTACTAACGTCACCTCAGTCTCAGTCACACACTTGCACTGTGTCTGACAGTGCACAGAGAAGCTCTGAGCAGCACTGACAGCTCCTCTATGTTTTTAATAACTGTACTGGTTTCGGAGACTCTCTTTTCAAGGCTGCCTTTTCAGGACTTCCACACCATGTAAATACCTGAGAGCACTGGTTTGATTTATTTTCCCCTGCACGTATATGTGGTTTGGGTTTCTGGGCCTCTCTGAAAGAGCAGGATGAATACTGGTGGCACATCACAACTCTCTTCAAACCCAGGCGCCCCAATGCACCCAATTAGTCAACCTTTCTGCAAATGGTATGCTATGCAGGCTTCCTGGGCGTGAGTACATCCTTAAATGCACAAGCTTAAAGGATCTTGTGACTTATAATAAACTGAAAGACGGTCATTAATGGTTTTCCTGTTCAATAACAGCGCTGGCTCTGAAAGTAGATTGTGACATACATAAATAGCCCTGGAACTGTCAAAATAAAGCTAAATGTCACAATTAAAATGCCTTCTTACGGGGCTTCAGAAAAATCTTTACATATATATGCCTATAAGATTTACTCATTTGTTTTTCTGAGACAAAGGCTCACAGCCCCAGAGAGCCTCCAAGTAAGTCACTGAAGATGGCCAACACATGTGGTTCCTGTGGAGCTAGGCCTGATGAACGCTAGGCCAGCACACTACCAGCAGAGCCACAGTCCCTCCCCAGCCTTCCATGTTTTTAATTTACTCAATTTTCTTTAATAAAATAGGAATAACCTTATCATGAATTAAATGTAGTCAATTTCATTTGTAATGGAGATAATAAAATTGATAAATTATGCATAGCGATGACCTCACTAGGAATCCAAGGAAACACACAGACTGAGACTCAGTAACTATCAATTCAGGCTCCTTCACTTAAGAGAAAGCATTCAAATGGATTTGACAACTAAAAGATTTCCAAATAAAATCCAAGAATCGCTGTGGTGGATGGGAGTTGGAGCTGATAGCAGATATTGGTGAAAATAGGACAACATTAGGGAACAAAGACTGTAAACTAGAAGAAAACACAAGGTGAAAAGCCAAAGGCAAACACAGCTGGGGTAGCCAGTCACAACTTGTCAATGCCATGGGTCACCTGAACAAGGCTGGATGATGAATATAACATAGATACTATTTGTCCTGAATGCTGTGTATATTAATCATTAAAAGTTCAAATGAGAGTTGGTGTTTACTACTTCAAAAACTAACATATAGAACATAAATAATTGAGTATAATGTTATAAGCCTTTAATCCCAGAACAGGCAGAGGCAGGCAGATCTCTGTGAGTTTGAGACATCTACATCACATCTACATAGTGAGTTCCAGTCAGTCAGAGGTACACAGTGAGACCCTGCCTAAAAAAGCAAAGAAAAATATATATATATATGATAAAATAAAAACAAACCTGTTTCTAGAGTTTAAGGATTATAAAAGTTTTAATTTTTTACAGAACTTTCCAATAACACTAAATGCAAGCACCGAGTAGAGCCAGAACAACATCTATGAGTAGTAAAAATGTTTACCTCTTGTTGTTCTTGATTTGGGTTCACAGTGAGTAAAGTTGGTATTTTAGGTGAATCTGTTTTCTTCGCCTCTCTCTTCAGCACTTTCACCTGTTTAACTTTTGCAAAAAAGGGGGGAAAAAGAAGAAAAAAAAGGAAAAAAATAATTTGTTGGTCCTGCTGGTCTGCCTAGAAGCTGCCCTCTGAAGGAGCTCAGGTAGGCGCCCTCACAGCCAACAAGCCCCTTTTGAAGTTAGCTGCAAAGGAGCTGAGTAACTGTGCGCTGTAAATATGGTTTGCTTTATTTTATGATCTCACAAAGGTGACCCTCACGTGGCACATGTTCTATACCTGGCCACTGCGTCCATTTTCACAAGGTCTCTGTTTTCCAAGGAAAGAACATTTGCTCACATCAATGCATTCACTCTAAGATAAATATGTTTAATTTTTATTACATTCTATTTGTTTATTCATTTCTTTATTGGGGTGTGGTCAATCCGCTCCATCTACAGTGTAAATCTCCTGATCAAACTCTGGTCATCAAAGCTTAGTATCAAATGCTTTTACCTGCTGAGTCATCTCACCAGCCCTAAAATTAAATCTTAAGGTTATGATGAATTTGAAATTTATAAAATCTACCAAATCCCAGCATGCCCAACGCATCTGTAACACTTCTGGGCAAACAACCAGGGAAGGTACTTTACCACAGGTTATACACTGAATCAAATTCACCTTTCTCAAATTCTGCCCCAGCATCTCAACTTCAAGCTAATAAAACATTTACCCTTTGGAACTGTCTTTACCTTTCTTTAAAATTATCTCTATGAAAGCAGGCAGCAGTGGCCCTTTAGTTCCAGCACTCGGGAGGCAGAAGCAGGGGGATCTCTGTGAGTTCGAGGCCAGCCTGGTCTACATAGTGAGTTCCAGGAAAGCAGAGATACAGAGTGAGACCCTGTCTAAAACAAAACAAAGCCAATATCTAACTCCTTAATTTTACAAGAAAAAAAATCTTCTCAATGGAATTTACTTTTTCAAAGCAATTTACTACTTTCTACAAAGTTGCCACGTAAGTTCCCTCACAAAAGTCCCATCACTGACTGTGTCATCCGCAGTGTTGGGGAGCTATGTACCACAAGGGACCCACCTTCCATTCCTTTCGTTTCCTTTGCCTGTATTGTGAATGGCAGTTCAGGGAAATGGAATTCTTTCCTGTCGCATCTGGGAAAATTCAGCTTTCTTTTGTTTCCACTTGCCATTTGATCACTCTGACTTGTTCGGTCGTTAAATACTCCTTTCTCTGCTTGGCTCTAGACAAACAAGTACCAGTTAGCATGAGGAACCATGTGAAACTAACCACAGAATCACAAACCTAGACGCACTTGTCATCTGAATAATGGAAAACAGTTCTAGAGATTATCCTAATGATTCAGAAGTAGAACAGAAACCAAGCATGGTAATCATGCCTTATAGTTCTAGCACTTGGGAGAAAGGCAGAAGGATCTCCAGTTCAAGGCCAGCCTAAGATACTATAAGACCCTGTTTCAAAGAAAACAGAAGCAAAAATAAACACACAAGCCAAAGAACAGAGCACCACTACATGCAAGCAGACCAGACTCCCAGGGAAATTTCCCAAGCAAGGCTTTGAGTCCTTACTATTCTTCATTTTGAAAACCACAATCTTTTGTTTGTTTGTTTTTCAAACAAGGTTTCTTTGTGTAGCCTTGGCTGTCCTGGAACTGGCATGTCTCCCAAAATAAATAAATGCAATAAAAAGTTTCTGTAAAACAGTGAACACTTTTCCACAATGTAACACTCAGCAACACATCACGCAAACGCACTCTAGTGTACTTCAGAAACTATCAGCTCTTACACAGGGTTGTGTTGTTTTCCATATTTCCTTTATTTTGAGTCAGGGTCTCACTATGTAATACTGGCAGACCTGGAACTTGATCTGTAGACTAGGCTGGAACTTAGAGATCTGCCTGCCTCTGCCTTCTGAGTGCTGGGATTAAAGACATGCACCACCACACCCGGATGTTTTCAATCTTCTATTATTATGAATAATGCTGTGCCTCGAATGTAATAAACTGATTATACTATGTAAAGAAATGATGAGCAAAAAAAGAAAGACATGGTTAGCATTTCTAGAGCAAGGAAATTGCATCTATTTGGCAGTGTTTTTGATCCATAAAGGTATTTTTGGAAGAGAAAAACACAAGTCTTGTAATTTGTAAAGGTCAAGGGAACGTGTTAGAACACAAACTAGAGACAGGAACAGGGCTAGGGAGGCAGTTCCATGGCTAGAAACAGTTACTGCTCTTGCAGAGGACCTGAGCTCAGTTCTCAGGCTCACAGCCATGTCTAACTCCAGTTCCAGAGGAACCAATGCTCTCTTCTGGTCTCCACAGGCACCAGCAGGAATTCACATACAAAATAAAATAGATAAATCTAAAAGACGTTTTAAAAAAGATAACCAAGTCGGGCAGTAGGGGTGCACGCCTTTGCTGGGAAACAGAGGCAGGTGGATCTCTGTGAGTTTGAGGCCAGCCTGGTCTACAAGAGCTAGTTCCAGGACAGGCTCCAAAGCGACAGAGAAACCCTGTCTTGAAAAAAGCAAAAAAAAAAAAAGCGCAATCACGAAGCACAAGGGGAGCATGAGCAGGTGGAGCGACTCTGTGGGCACTCCTTTAGCAGATGCAAAGCCTTGGACTTGTCCCAGCACAGGAAAAGAAGAGAGAAAGGGTAGACAGGAAGGAAGATTTTTAATGTGAGAACTTAAGAGAAAAAGGTAGAAATTGCTTAAAGAAGTCATATTCTATTAATGTATTCATTCCATGTATGTATGTACATGTTCGTATGTGCTAACATGTGTGTAAGGGTATATATGCATGTCTTTCTGGATAGCTCTCCACCTTATTTTTGAAGACAGTTTCTCATTACATCTGTAGCTCACAATTTGGCTAGACTGGAATGCCAGCAAAGCCCTAAGGATCCTCCTCTCTGACTCCACAGTGTTAGGCTTACAGGCATGGACCACTGTACCCAGCTTGGCACATGGGTGCTGTGGATCCAAACTCTGACCCTCATGCTTGCTCATCTAGCACTTTACTGACTGAGACATCTCCCTAGCCCCAAGAGACCATATTTTAATGACTAGCATCTTGCCTTACTTGCGTGGGACCTGTGTCCTCCTGTCTGCTATTAGACAAAGTATGTCCAATGGTTTGTGAAGAAGTGCGCCTCTTTTTTGCTCTTTCAGTTAACCTATCAATTAAAGATAAAGGAGAAGTTATTAGAACCCCCAGAATTGCCTTTGCTTTAGTATGAAGAAAAAGTAAGTTATAATAGGTGGACCTGGCTGTAAACACCTATAACCCTGACACTCAAGTGGCTGGTTCAGGGCTGTTAATTTCAGGACAGCCTGGGCAACATAACCTGAACCTGGCTTATAAAACGAAACTGGTTCAGTTTTGGCACTGTGTGTCAAAAGCAATGGTCAGTTACTGAGTTCTGAGAACTGTAGGGACAGAACTAGCGCAGGGCTAACTGCTGGTGAAAACATGTCATGAAGTGACTCTTGTGGCCATCTGCTCCCTTGGATCTGTTCTAACCATGAATCACTTAATCTCTCAAGTTCTCCATTACGGCCTGAGACTGACTGACAACCATGGCTCCTGGCCGTGTGACTCGGGGTCACCTCAAGAACACCTGAGATCACTGCAGCCAATGGTCTGCTATACCTTTAGACTACACAGACAAGCCCTCTTCCTCACAACCTGCAGCCTAAATCAGTCTGTGAGAGACTAGCTGAGTTACTGCACCTCACAGTGTAGGTTTGCAAAGAGGCCTAATATTTGCACTGTTCATTACCACTTTCCACATTAAACACAACATCAGTCTCTCAACCTATAACACAAGTTAATCTAAAACTGACCTGATATACCATTTTCCTACCAAAATACTTAATATTGAAAGGCTATTTGCTATGAAGGACTAATTTTGGACTATTCTTTTTCCACTGAGAGACTCTGCTGTGAGGCAGAACTAAAGCTTACTTTGCAGTACTGAGTGCCATGGTTACTACGGTTTGTCCTCCTATGGTCCAGACTGGAAGTTTATTCCCAGTGGGTAGGATTGAGGGGGTAGAGCTTGTAAGTGGTGAGGACTCTCAGAAAGGAGGTGACTAAATCCCAAGAGAGACTGATGATTTTCCTCCTTAGGACACATTCTTACACTTGAAGAACACTCCAGAAAAGAGGGTCTTCAGAAAGGATCCTGGCTCCTACCCTGAAATCTCTCTTCCTTGTTTGCATGTATGTCATTCCTACATGTGGTCAGTTTCCTGCCTCCTCCTCTGCTATGCAGTGACACCATGCTGCTGGCCTCTCCAGGCACTATCACCATGGCCACTTTCCTTTATAAAGTGTTCTATGTCTCAGTCATTTTGTCACAGCAACACTAAGTGGAGTAATACATCAAGGTGCATGGAGGCCAGAACTTCGGTCAAATGACCCCTTCTCTCTTCAAATAGAAGGTAGTTTTCTTTTCAAAAGATTCTCTAGGGCTGGAGAAATGGCTCAGCAGTTGAGAGTACTGTTGCTCTTCCAGAAGACTCAGGTTCAATTCCCAGCACCCACACGGCAGCTCACAACTGTCTGTAACTCCAGTTCCAGGGAGTCTGACATCCTCATACACATATGCATGCAGGCAAAACAGCAATGCCTGTTAAAAAATAAATTATTAAAAAATATATTCCTAGTTTAGCAGTTAAAAATCAGTATTGTTCATGAAGAAGACCTGGGTTCAGTTCCCAGCATCCACACTGGTTGGCTCACAACTGCCTACAACTCCAGCTCCAGGGGATCTGATGTCCTGTGGCCTCCACAGACACTGAATGAATATGGCACACATAAATATACTCAGGGAAACATACATAAAATAAATATTTTAAAGCTATCCCAAATACACCAGTCAACATTTAGACATCTAAGTTGGCTGTGGTGGTACACATCTATAATCGAATCCCTAAGGAGGCTGAGGCTGGCCGACCATGTGTAGGGGGCCAGCTTGGGTTACAAAGTCAAGTTCTAGGCTAGTCTGGGATCTGTGGCAATTTGTCTCAAAAGAAATTAAATACCTACATAACAAAGAAGAAAACTTTTCATGTGGCATTTCCAAAATCTACTCAGTGAATGTCCTGCTACATGACTATCATTTCGATAGATCTTCAAATTCAGTCTACACTGACACTATTGAAGTAACCCTTTGAAATGCCATCCTACAGAAAAATGTTATACTTTGGCCTCCCCTCTGCCCCAGCTCACCGTGAATTAGGGTGGGAGAGGTTTGAATTGAGATTTGCAGCCATCAAGTTACTGCTTGTCAGGTTGATGGGTGGCATTATCATACAACCTCCAGCATGTGGGTCTTCTTTGACGCCGTCAGGGTGTATGCTGGGATTGACAGGGTTTGGCACTTCAGCAATGGCGGGCTTTCTATCCTGAGACAAGGTGTGCGTGTCATCGGCTGTGCCCTGCTGGCGGTGTTCACCTTCACACTCTATCTTTTTCAGGTCTGGGACATCACCTTTCCCTCCTTTGGCTTTAAGAACTCTGACTTTGATCTCCTTGGGTCTTCTGTCTTTGTCCATTTCCTGAAATAGGCATGTTGAGAATCTGAGTCACAAGAGCCCCAACTATGGCACAACCACACAGGTGGAAACAGAAAGCAAGGCCAGCTCACCTTTCCATGAAGTGATGTGTTTCCATAAAGCAGTGTATTGGTAAAAGCTGGTTTCCGCTCATCTCTCACAGGTTCATTTTCTTTAAAATTCTCTCTTGGCTTTATGAAAGAATTAACCTTTGCTTCTTGTAATAATTTAGCTCTCAGCTCTGGTATAAATCTGATAAATCAAGCAATATTTTCCAACTGTCGTTTTACTTATATGGTTTATCTCAATAGAACCATTCAATCAAACATAAACAATGCTAAAAAAAAAACTGATACTAAGAGATGGCACTATTTGATTTTTTTTGTGTGTGGCAGGTTATCACCGTGTAGCCCAAGCTGGTATCAAGCATAAAATCCTCTTGCCTCAGCTTCCTGAGTGCTAGGATGACAAGTGTCCAAGTTCAAGGCCAATCTGGTCCCCAAAATGAGTTCCAGGACAGCTAGGGTTACACAGAGAAACCCTATCTCAAAAGAACAAAAACAAAACACAAAACAGAGACAACCAAGGCAGATGGATCTCTATGAGTTCTAGGCTCACCTGGTCTACAGAGCTAGTTCCAGGACAGCCAGGGCTACATAAAGGAACCCTGTCTCAAAAAGCTAACAAACAACAAAAAGCCTTACTTACATTAGATTCCCTTTGAGATGTGAATTTAATAAAATGTCCGCTTGAATATTGATACAGAAGCTGTTTGTATCTCTGGACTTACACTGAATTTGTTACCCAGCACTCACGTTAACTAGCTCACAACTGCCTGTAACTCCACCTCCAAGGGGTCTATTGTTCTAACATCTATAGGTACCCACACACATGTGCACATACACATAAATCAAAATAAAATAAATCCTTAATTCTTCTATTAAATATGACCTCTGTCCTGAGATGAGGCTGCAGCTGTAGAATGGGATTTTGGTACCCGGCCTACAACCTTGTGTCCCTGCATCAAATGCTAGCTGCAATTACTGCAGTAAATCTTCACCCATGTCACCCGCCAAACTACCATACACCTGACACATGCCTGGCACAGTGACTCCGTTAGGGTTCTGCTTCATTGAATATTTTTGTTCTGTAACATTATCCTATCTAGTGATTCCCCGTCTAGTAGGAAAGACCACACATGCTTACTTCTCAATAAATCCATCTCTAGTAAAGTAATCGTGACGCAAAAGATCAGTAGACGATATCCTCTCCGCAGGGTCAATTTGTAAACAAGCCTAGAAAAGAAGAGGGGTTAATAAAATATGAAGTTTGGGCTCTGTCTCTAAAATTAAGTCTTTAACAGGGCAAGAAGTTGATTTGACACATGACAAAGTAATTAACCAGAGCTAACAGAGTTTAAAAATAGGCAAATTTCTTTTTCTTTTCTCTCTCTCTCTCTTTCTGTTGTTGTTGTTGTTGTGTCTCTACCAGCTACCATCTCACCAGTCAGTGAAAATTTTATTACAGGTTAAAAGTTATATGTTTCTAGTCAAAATAAAATCAGTCTGCTCATGCTGTAATTAACAGAAATTAGGAATACAGGGAACAGTTTAGAAGTAGTGCCCTAGCCCAGAACACGCAAGGCTCTGGGTTAAATCCCCAGCATTCCTCTCACACACAAATTGTAATAAAATCATAAAGCTGCATTAGGTTAACAGAAATAATTTAGCTTCTTTAGTTCCTTCTGTCAGCCCTGTATGAAGGAGAAGCTCATGGGCAATAATTTATACTGTGCAGATCCAGAAGCATGATCAGGGATTTGCCAAATGGGGATTTTAGCCCATTATATCAGCTGACTCCTAATGCTGCTCCCTTTGTGGCATAAGGCAACTCAGTGAATACTGAAGCTCTCAGCCCTCCAACAACCCAGCATTAAAGCAGCTCTCCTCTGGGGCTGGAGAGAGCTCAGCAGTTAAGAACACTAGATGCTCTTAAAGAAGAGCTGGCTTCAATTCCCAGCACTCAAATGGCAATTCACAGCCATCTATACCTCCAGTTCCAAAGGAACCAACCCCCTCTCTGTCCTCTTCAGACACCGGGCACACATACAGGCAGACAAAACACCAATGTACATACAGTTAAAAAAAATTAAAAGTCAATGAGCTCTTCTCTGATTCTCTGCTCTGGGAACACCTCAACTGAGGAAAGGACCAAAACCCAAAGGCAACTTATGGGACAAGTGGTGAAAAGGAAGCTACACACAATGATCGACATGTAACTAAAGACTTGGACTGTTGCACAGAACCATTCTTTAAAACAATGAGTCGGGCTGTGGTACACACCTTTAAGCCCAGTTAACTCCTTTTAACTCAGGAGGCAGAGGCAGGCCAATCTCTGTGAGTTTGGGGCCAGCCTGGTCTACAGAGTGAGTTCCAGGACGTGCTTCAAAGCGACACAGGATTCAAAAGTAACCTGTCTTGAAAACCCAAACAAACAGTGAAGATAAGATGTCAATGAAAGGCACCTGCTCTTTCCAATGCCTTCTACCTACTTCCCGACTCATCCCTACAGTTCACATCATAGGACTTTAACTGTGTACGCTCAAGGAGACCAAGCCCCACAAATGTTAAATCACCTAACATCTTCCAAAACTTTAATTTCATTTATTTTGTGGGAGGAGGCATGCCACAGTACATGTGTGGAAGTCAGAGGACAACACGGTGAAGTTGGCTTTCTCTTCCACCTTTATGTGGCTTCCTGGGAAGGAACTCCGGGTATCAGGCCTGCACAACAAGCCCTTTGACTTGCTGACCCATCTTGCTGGCCCTTGTCAAGGTGAAAGGACCAGAATTAAAATATAGAAAGATGCTTCTATTATCTTCAAAATGTATAGTATGAACTAACAATTCTATGGCTCTGCTGCACAACAGTGTACACAGGGTTGGAAGTACTTATGAGCCGGGAGAGTGTACGTACATATTCACCAACTGAAACTGAATGGATGTCTGTGTGGTGTATATGTTTATGTGTGTAGTCACGTACTCATGTGTGAAGACCAGAGGTTGATGTCAGGTGTTTTCCTCCACCACTCTCCACCTTAATTTTTTGAGATTGTCTCTCACTGAACCTGAAGTTCGCCAACTCAGCCAACAAGCCTCAGGATCCTCCTTTTTTCATTTCCTCAATACTGAGATTACTGGTGCACACTGCCCCAACTTTCTACCTAGGTTCTAGGGGACGGAACTCAGGCCCCCATGTCTACAAGATGAACAACTACCACATGAGCCAAGAGTCTCTTTTTAGAAGATACTTCAGTATACTTGTTCTGAAATTTCAGAAATCATGTTTAAGAACTGCACACTGAAGCTGGGATTAAGAGCCAGGCAAGGTGGTGATGGTACGGTCTTTAACTGCAGCACTCTGAAGGCAGAGGCAAATGGATACTGTCTGGAACTCCAATCCCATGAGACCCAACACCCTCTTCTGGCCCATGTGAACACCAGGCACACACGTGGTGCACAGGCATACAAGCAGGCAAAACAGTCACACCTATAAATCTAAAAATAAAAACAAAAAGAGCTGTATATTAGAGAAAAGGAATTTGCTGTAGTCTGTAATTGATTTTTTTTGAGGGGGGGTTGCTTTGGTTTTTGTTTTTACTTTTTGGAGGCCTGCCACCCAGCTCCCAAATAAACAGACAGAGACTTATTCTTACTTATGACTGCCCAACCTTAGTTTGGCTTGTTTCTAGTCAGCTTTTCTAACTAAAATTATCTCAGTTCTCTTCTATATTCTGTCTCTGGGTCATTTATTTTTACCTTTCTTTATTCTATATCTTTCTTTCTTACTCCGTGGCTGGTTGTGTGGCTGTGTGACTGAACCTTGGCATCCTCCTCTCTTCCTTTTGAACCTTGGCATCCTCCTCTCTTCCTTTTCTCGCTCCTTTCTTCTTCTCTTATTCACTCTGCCTGCTAGTCCCACCCATCCTCCTTCTCCTGCCTAGCTATTGGCCATTCAGCTCTTTATTAAGACCAATCAGGTGTTTGAGGCAGGCAAAGTAACACAGCTTTACAGAGTCAAACAAATGCAACATAAAAAAATGCAACACATCTTTGCATCATTAAACAAATGTTCCACAGCATAAACAAATGTAACACATCTTAAACTAATATTTCCCAACAACAGTCATACAACCTTCATCTAGAAATAAGCACCTTCACTCCTCTTGGTATAAGAAACCAGCTGGTTAGAGAAATAAAAGATTCATAATAAACTCACCTTATGTACTGTGTTCACATGTTACTTAGTTAAATGCAATTTAAACTTAAAATAAGAAATAAGGGTTAGGGAGATGGCTGAGTTGGTAAAGTGCCATGTAAGCCTAAGGACCCGAGTTTAGACACCATGCTGCATGTACTTGTAATCCAGCACCCGTGAGGAGGAGACACGTGGATTAAGCTCATTGGTCAGCAGCTCTAGGTTCACTGAAAGGGATATCTCCCTCTCTCTTTCCTGTCTCCTTCCGTCTACCCCTCCCCAAGCTGGATCCTGAACTCAGGACCTTGTAAAATGTTAGTTGTGTATTGTGTCACTGAGCTATACTCCAGAAAGAGATTCCGTTTAGATAACAACCACAAAGCATGGAGAACTTTAAGGAAAGACACCTGACATCAAGTTTTGGCTCCTAGAAATACATGCATACAAGATGCACCTATGTGCACACACATTCAAACTACATACTATCAAGTATGTATAACACACACACACACCTCTTAAAATGTTTTTGTTTTCTCCAATTTGTGAATTGGGTACTGGTGCACCCTCAGCAATAGTCATATGATAACTGCCAACATATGCCTCCAAAGAAAGTCAGGACAGCACAGGACAAAGAACAGCCCTAGCCTTGTAGGACAGATGCTGAAAGTGGTGAGAAACATAGAAAGTCCCTCAAGTGTTCCCAATTTATCCCTCAGTATCTTAAATTTTAATTTATTTCTATTAATTTCTGTACAATATGTAACATGTAAGTATCACTTTAGGAGTCTTTCTGGAATCTCAAGTAACACTTTAAAGCTGTATTATTGCTGGGAATGTGGCTCAGTGGTAGAATGTTTGCCCAGCTGTGGGCTCTATTTCTAACACCAAGAAAAAAAAAGACTCCATGTTACTATAATTTCTGCAAATTCTTAAGTCATTCTTAATGTCTTAACATACATGAACTATATCTGCCAGCAATCCGTTGAGCTTTGGGTATTTCTTTCTTGCATTTTTTGGGTGTTGAACTTGAGGAAGAACCACCCCGGCAAAGATAGGACTCTTGGAAAAGATGTTGTGCAGGTGCGGGGTCAAGTTGCCTGAAACGAGAACCAAGTGTCTGAGTCACGAAACTGCTCCCAGTGGAAATCCCACGTGATGTGCTCTCAGTTATGAATGAGGAGAAAAGGAAAAGCACAGTTTTTAACTTTACAGTTGAAAGAAAATATCTAAACATGTCATAAAAGCAGAGGTTCTGGGTTAGGGACACAGCTCTGCAGTAGAGTGCTTATCTAGGGAGTGTGGAGTCCTAGGTTCAGTCTCCAACTCCATAAAAAAAATAGTAGGTTTTAAAAATTGAAGTTTCCTCCAGGAAGTTGTTGAGAGGCAGCAAAACACATAAAACAGTGTGGTTCTTTTACACCAAACTCTAAGACATAATATATAATTACCAGCAAAAGTTCTTTAAAATTTAACATGTTTCTTTTTATTTCCTTTTGGCTTTTCAAGACAGGGTTTCTCTGTAGCATTAGCTGTTCTTGGCTGTCCTGGAACTTGCTCTGTAAGCCAGACTAGCCTCAAACTCACAGAGATCCGCCTGCCTCTGGCACCCAAATGCTGGGATTAAAGGCGTGCACCACCACCCATCTTGACATGCTTCTCTGTTTGTATCTTAATAGTTTAACTGTCAGGTGTTCACCAGCTTTCGAACCAAAACCATACTCAAAACAGATAGAACAATAAAGCCAGGTGGTGGTAACATACATCTTTAATCCCAGCACTCAGGAGGCAGAGGCAGACAGATCTTTGAGTTCAAGGCCAGCCTGGACTACAGAGCAAACAAAAAATACAGTAAAGTAATTCAGAAACTAAAGTAGTGTATAGAACGATGGTTCTCAATTTATGTGTTATGACCTCTTGATGTTGTCAAACAACCCTTTCACATGGGTTGCCTAAGAGTATTGGAGAATTACAATTCACAACAGTAGGAAAATTACAGTTATGAAGTAGTAATGAAATAATTTTACAGTTGGGGGTCACAACATGAACTGTATCACAGGGTGGCAGCATTAAAAGGTTGAGACCCACTGGTGTAGATGAAAGACTAGTAGCAATCGCAGAGTGGAAAGAACTGTGAAAGCTCATGGAGACCAGGTACTGGCACCTTTCACCACCACTAATAGTGTGCCGTGGAACAAATCTCTTCATCATTTATGGCTTGGTCCCTCTGTAAGATAACAGGGCTAATGATATCACTGCCAAGCTCTCTTCTAACATAGTCTCATAAAGGACTTTAAAAAGGCACATAAAATGGATGCTTCAAGGCTCTGTCTGACTTTTATTAATCTTAAATCATCTTAATCAATGTTAATCCAGGTTTTACTGCTTTGATGACTGTTCCCAGTTCCTTCTTTCTCAGAATCCTGCAATTATGTGTTTATGAAGAGTTTCTCCAGTACTCTTGGGGCTCCTCAAACTCAGATTAAGCTTCAGATTAAAATACTGTGTGCAAAGCTAACTACCAAATGTGTAGGTAGTTATGGTGATCAGTGTTAACTGTCAACTACCAGGAAGCCTCTGGGGATGCCCTGGGGAAATATCTTGATTACATTAATTGACCCCCTATTATGGGTGGCAATGTTCCTTGGCTGAGTCCAGGATTGTAGAAATGGAGGAAGGGAGTCAAGCAACTTGAAAACATTTATTACTCTCTGTTCTTGATTGTGGATGTGATGTAATCAGACCCCAAGCTCCTGCTGGAACTTTTGATCTATGATGGACTGTAACCTAGGGCTGTGAGTCAAAATAAAACAGATGTCCCTTAAATTACTTTATCAGATATTGCAGAGCAAAAGGAAAAAACATCTAAGACAGTAGTTAAAACAGATTGTAAGATAATTAAACTCTTACCAAGTATACTTTTAACTTTTACTTTTCATCAACTATATCATTGAACATATTATTTAGCTACGTGGTTTCTACTGTGGGTTTGTTGATAAAGAAGATGGTTTAAAGGGACTAGAAGAGATGGATCAGAGGCTATGGACACTCTTCCAGAGGACCCAGGTTTGGTTCCCAGCACCCACCTCTGGTGATTTACAGTTGACTGCTATAACTCCAACTCCAGGGGATCCAATGCACCTCTGGTCTCTGAGCATCAGCACTTAAATGCACAACCCACACACCCACACAGAGATGCACACACAATTAAAACAAAATAGATCATATTAAAAAGATAATTTGTTAGCAAATAATTGATTTTCTATCTACAATACTTTTAAAGAGTATCTGACTAAACTTTACTGCTGTGGGATAATGCTCTTGTACACTGTAAAGATTTATCACTTGTACTGGTTTAATAAAACACTGATTGGCCAGAAGCCAGGCAGGAAGTATAGGTGGGGTGGCAGACTAAGAGAATTCTGGAAAAAGAAAAGGCAGAGATGTAGTCAGCAGCCAGATGCAGAGAAAGCAGGATGAGAATACTGCACTGAGAAAAGGCACCAAGCCACTGGGCTAAATATAAGTAAGAAATAAAGGTTAATTTAAGTTGCAAAAGGTAGTTAGTAATAAGTCTGAGCAATAAGCCAAATAGTTTATAATTAATATAAGCTTCTGTGTGTGTTTCTTTGGGACTGAATGACTGTGGGACCAGATGGGACAGAAATGTCCATTTACACTATACTATTTAAAGTCCTTGTCCAGAAGAGAAGATGTTTGCAGAGGCTAACAACTTTTAGTTCTAGAATAGAACTTTTTTTTTTTTGCTTTATTTTTTGAGACAGGGCTTCTCTGTGTAGCTTTGGAGCCTGACCTGGTACTCTTTCTGTAGACCAGGCTGGCCTCAAACTCACAGAGATCTGCCTGCCTCTTTCTCCCAAGTGCTGGGACTAAAGGCGTGTGCCACCCCTGCCTGATGAACAGCACAACTTTAAATATATATATATATATATATATATATATATATATATATATATATATATATAAATATATATATATATATATACAGTACTGGGCTGGAGAGCTAACTTGGTGAAGTATATTACTACCGTATACTTTTCTTAGCAGCAACAATTAACATGTGCCTTTGAGTTCCTGCAAAGAAGTTATTATTTGTCAAAACAATTTTCTGCCTTCTTTATCAGCATGGAAACCCATCTGCCATCACCCGTCTCACAAGGCACTTCCTTAGTATTCATTCCCTAAATATGGGCATCAGGCATAGCTGATCTGGAAGCAGTTACTTAGACAGGTAGCAGAGTATTTCAGTAATACCTACCTACTTTTAAAACAATCTTGTGGAGCAAATCCAAATCTGAACTGCTAGGAAGGTAGGGATTGCCAGTGGCCATCTCAATGATCATACAGCCCAAAGCCCAGATGTCCACTGGTCTGGAAAAAAATTTACCACAGAGTAAATTACTTTGTCAGGCACAAATATGTATAACAACTGCTCTAAAGACGTTTTATATCAGATCAAAGCTAAAAAGTAAGAATGTTTGCCAGCAGAAGTGGAGAAAGAGAAGAGAAACTAAGGGCAGATGAACACAACCAAAGTGTGTACAGCAAGAAAATGTCCCAATAGATGCCATTGTGTTATATGATTAATAAACCCAAAAAGGGGAAAAGCCACAAGTGAAGGTGTATGTCTTTAATCTCAGCACTAGGGAGGCACAAGCAGGCAGGTATTTGTGGTTTTGAGGCCACTTTAGTCTACATATTGAGTTCCAGGCCATCCAAAGCTACACAGTGAGGCCCTGTTTCAAAACAAAAGGATGAAGTAGGGAGGGATAATGTTTAAGTGGTATTATTTACAAACAATTTTTCACTGTAGGATATTGATTGAGGGACTATACTCCTTTATGAGTCATTTCGAATAGCACAGTTTTTAAAAAGCATTACTTTCAGTCTTTATACGGAAGGTGTCACTTTTTCCAAGAAAGAAGAAATTTGGTAGATCCTGTTTCAACACAGAATTATGGTAAATGATTGGAGAATCTTTGCAGGGGCTCAGCAGGCAAAGGCACCTGCCACTGGGTCTGAAACCTGAGCTGGGTCCCACACATTCGGAAAGAACTAAGGCCTGCAAGTGGTCCTCCAATGCACACATGCATGCCATGGGCCCCACCCCACAAATAAAAAATATATAAAATTTTTTAAACCGTTGCAGAACACAGAAGCATAACATCAAGAGAGGAGACAACACTGCCAGAAGTATGGCACAGACTAAGGCAAGCCTGGATACAGTGTAAGAACATGCGCCTAGGCCTCCAGCAGCTGCTGCCATTTAAACCCTCTAAGTACAGACACAGTCACCAGTAGCACAGGTGCCCATAGTGTCCTCCGGATGCCTTTAAAGGTACCCCTCTTCCTTGACCAAAGTCAGACACAGATGGCAGGGAGTGAATAGCAGAGGGAAAATGACACACCTGGGAGAAGCCAGGCGAGTTCCCAAAATATACATACTTTCCATAAGAGGTATCTTTTAACACCAGTTCCGGAGCTCTGTACCAGCGAGTGGCCACATAATCTGTGTAGACATCCCCAGGAGCTGCTAATGTCCTTGCAAACCCAAAATCACAGAGCTTAGTAATCCCTGATTGGGAGACTAAAATATTCTCAGGCTTTATATCTCGATGGATAATCTAAAAACAAACAGAAAATTTGATATATTAAAATGGGGTTTCATTTTAGATAGAATCCAAAACTCTCCAGAGAAAAGTCTAGCTCACAGCTAAAATAGGGAAGACATTTCCTAATCAGGGTAAAAAGTTACATATTCTCCATCTATCACTTCCAAACAAAATGAAGTCAAAACAGACACTGAAAAGGTAAATCTGTTGTAGAATATTACTTTAACTGTGTAAAGATGTGTTGCATTTGTTTATACTGTAATGATTTAATTATGTAAAGATGTGTTGCTGTTTTACCGTGCCTGCCTAAGGCACCTGGCTGGTCTAATAAAAAGTTAAATGGCCAATAGCCAGGCAGTAAAGGGATAGGCAGGGCTATCGGGCAAAGAGAGTAAGTAGGAGGAGGAATCTAGGCTCTAGAAGGAAAAGGAGAGAGCATGGGAGAAAGAAAGGGAGACACCTGGGCCAGCCAGGCAGCTGCCAGCCAGACTGCCATGGAAAAAGCAGGAAAGAAGGACATACAGAATGAAAGAAAAGTAAAAAGCCCTGAGGCAAAACATAACTGGAGAGAAGTAGATAAAACTAAGTTTTAAGAGCTAGTGGAGGGGCTGGAGAGGTGGCTCAGTGGTTAAGAGCATTGCCTGCTCTTCCAAAGGTCCTGAGTTCAATTCCCGGCAACCACATGGTGGCTCACAACCATCTGTAATGAGGTCTGGCCTGCAGACATACACACAGACAGAATATTGTATACATAATAAATAAATAAATATTTAAAATTTTAAAAAAAAAGAGCTAGTGGAACAAGCCTAAGCTAAGGCCGAGTATTCATAATAAATCATCTCTGTGTCATACTTGGGGGCTGGCAGTCCAAGAAAGTCTGCTACATAAATCCCACTCTAAGATCAAAGGGACTTGGTGAGACAGAGCTCAGCTTTGCTTTGATGCAGTTGGTATCCACTGTCTCCACAGGCAGTCCTCGGAAGAATACTGTGCACTCCCCTGTCCTCTGCTGACCATGCTGTGCTCGACTGCTCCGGACAAAGTCATCGGCACTGCTGCCACACTGATGGACCCCTCTCAACCCTTTACCTTACTCATTTCTTAGTGTGAGGCTATCATCAAACACTCCTCTACTCTGCAGTCCTGGGACCAAAAAGTCTCTTCTCTGCCAAGAACTTACTTTCTCTGTCCCTTAAATTTAGAACTGTCTCCCACTTTCCATTCTCAAATATCATGTTCTTCTCTCTCCTTTCTCCCTCCTCCCATCTCACTCCTCTGGCTTTCTGTTTGGTTTTTTTTTTTTTTATTTTAGACAGGGTCTCATGGAGGCCAGGCTATCCTTCAACTCACTATGTAGGCAAGTATAACTTTGCACTTCGGTCTCATGGGGTCACAGGCACATGACCACACTAGGCTCTGTCTCTCCCTGTGAACCATTTCCATCTCTTGGTTCTGGAGCCCACAAACTCATGTGTTTCTTCCCAACTACTGACTGACCCATTTCAGTCTTGGCACCTCTCTTTCTAATAATGTTTTACAGAATAAGAGAATATTTTAACTGACATAAATTACATATATTAATTGCATACACTTTATCAAAATATACCAAAAAAGTTGGGCATGGTGGCACATGCCTTTAATCCCGGCACTTGGGAGTTCGAGACAGAAGGATCACTGTGAATTAGAGTCAGCCTGGTCTACACAGTGAGTTCAAGGACAGCCAAAACTAAATAGAGATACCCTGTCTCAAAAAAACAAAAACCAAAACCAAAAAATCCACCAAGAAGTGACAAATTAGACAAACCTCTTACCTCATTTTTGCACAAAGGACCTTCAAATCTACTCTTAGCAATTTTAATAACATGATAGTCACTAACTATAGCAACCAAGTTGTAAAAAATCTTGTGAAGGGGCTGGAGAGATGGCTCAGAGGTTAAGAGCACTGACTGCACTTCCAGAGTTCCTGAGTTCAATTCCCAGAAACCACATGGTGGCTCACAACCACCTGTAATGAGATCTGGTCCCCTCTTCTGGCCTACAGGCATACATGGAGGCTGAACACTGTGTACATAATAAATAAATAAATTTTAAAAAAATCTTGTGAACTTACTTCTATCTGAAATTTGGCAGTAATCTTTCTCTCAGCCTACTTTTTAAGATTTTACATGTAACATAACATCCTCGATTACCCATATTATCACAGACGTTACTGTGCCCTATATCAAGTCTCGGTACTGCACTGCATTCTCTGTGTCCACTCACCCACAGCGGACACTTGGATGCACGCACACTTGCCTACTGTGAGCATGCTACGGTGGAAGCAAATGCAGGTATCTCGGACCAACTAATGTTGTTTCCTTTTCATACACACCCAGAAGAGAGACTGTGGTTACCCACAAGTTCCTGCTTTAAACACTGAGGATCCTGCATACTGTTCCCCAGTGTCCAAGGAATTCCCACTATACTGGCATCTGCACAGGTTTCCTTTTCTCCACATTCTAATTGCCACCTCTGCAATGACCATTTGAGCAGTAACTTCCATCATTTAAATTTCTCTGATGATGACAGATTTTGAGTACTTCTTCATAGACCTATCTGTCTACATATGCCCGGCCTACTTCTTAAAAATGCTTCTTTCCTTCACTCATTTTTAGTTATTCTGTTTGCTTATTATTGAGTTATTTGAGTTCTTTATTGGTTTCCATTTTCTCCCACTCCGGAAGCTGTTTCCTCATGCTGTACATTTTTCCCTTGACTACATACAAGCTCTTCAGCTTGGTCTCATCTGTCATAGAACTGTTCTCTTGTAGCATTAGCCTCAGGCCTCACATTTACGTCTTTAGTCTATCTTGAGCTGACATCTGAATGTGGTTCGTGGACTTCAGAAACTCTGCCCTGCCGCTGTCACACAGTCCCTTTCCACTTGGTCAGACTGCGTCAGTACTTCTCTCCAAGTTTACCTTTCAGTGCACAGATCTCACACATCTTTTGTCAAGGTTTATGGGGTTATATGATATTTTGATGCTAAAATGGCATTTCATTTTACTTCAGGCAGGGTTTCCTGTATGCCACCCACATTTTTGACTCTCCAGCCTCCAGCTCCCAAGCACTGGGATTTCAGGAGTGTGCCACCACGCTCAGTTCTATGTAGTATGGGGGGATCAAACCAAGCACATGCAAGCACTCTACCAATTAAACTACATTACCAGACCCTAACTGTACCTAAAAATTCTAATTTATGATTATTTGTTGCTAATGTATAGAAAAGCAGCTGGATGGTGGTGGTGCACACCTTTAATCCCAGGTTCTGGAAAGCAGAGGCAGTAGGGTCTCTGAGTTTGAAGCCAGCCTGGTCTGCAAAGTGAGTTCCAGGACAGCCAGGGCTACACAGAGAAACCCTGTCTTGAGAAACCAAAAAAAACAGAAAAGAAAAAAAAAATGGATTTAGAAATGATCTTCTTTGCTGTGGGAATTTTCTATGTAAATAACATGTTATCTGTGAATAAAGACAGTAGGCTTCACCCAACTCAAAAATGATGCCATAGTATTAATGTAATGTAATGGCATGCTATCACACTAGCTACAATAAAAGTGACAATCACAGGGCTTTTGGAGCCTGTTCTGGAACTAGCTCTTGTAGACCAAGATGGCCTCGAACTCACAGAGATCTGCCTGCCTCTGCCTCCCTAGTGTTGGGATTAAAGGTGTGTGCTACCACCAGACCTGGCTTTTTTCTTTTCTTTTCTTTTCTTTTCTTTTCTTTTCTTTTCTTTTCTT